AACTTAATTTTAATGCATCCATTTCTTCCAAGTTTGACATCATTTATTAAATCATTGTGGCCTAGGAACTAATATCAAAACACTAATTTTGACGAGATTTAGATGTTGGAAATTTTATATGAGCTTTTGCTAATTGTAATTAGTTTTCAAAATTAAATCAAATGGAAAACTAACAAGGGCCAATAAAGTTATGTAATCTAAGTGGGGCTAGATTTTATCTTAGTATTATATGGTGTGATATGAACAGGTATAGGATCTGGAATTAAAGGTGGGTTACTTGATAGGGTGTCCAAAAGATTAATATAATGAGATAAGTTCCCGCTTCAATTCAAAAAACCCTACTTTTATAAATAGTAGGGTTACGGAGTAACATAACCCATTGGTTGTCACTATACAAAAGTTGAATAAGGAGATGAAGACTTTAATCCCAATACTAACTATATTTATTTTGTAGGTTTTGTCATGGGATCCCAAATTATAATGATCCTTGAAAATCCTTAAGTAATATATACAATATGAAGATTTAGATACAGTAATTTATTTATTTTATTAGACCTAGGTGTCCTAAATTTTAAATATGTTGATCCTTAAAATTCTAACATTAGAATCCTACTACGAAGAATTCGATTACTTGGAAAATCACTTAGGTTGGCAAGACTTAAGATATGCAAATCCAATAACTTTCATTTGTAAGGAAGTATGCAGGGCATGCCGGTGACTGAAAGCATCAACTATGCAATTCTAGACTATAGATTTGTATTTGAGGAGAAAAAGATAAGCTTGTAAAAATTCACTCTAAGTAGCATGTCAACGACCGATCTTCTATTGAGAACTATAAGATGACTTCTTTTAAAAGAAGATCATGGCTCCAATGCTCCAAGGCTCAAACAATTGCGTAGAATTCCTTATCATAGGTGGAATATCTGAGTTTTATGTCATTCAACTTTCGTTGAAGAAGGCAAGGGGTCATTCTTCTTGACTTAATACTACACCAATTCCAACATTAGAAGCATCACAATCTACTTCAAATATAAGTTCAAAGTTAGGAAGTGCAAGTATAAGGGCTTCAATGAGCTTCCTCTTCAATTCTTCAAAGCTTTTTTGGGTTTTGTTGCTCCATGAAAATTTGTCACCCTTAACACTATCAGTGATTGAGGCAGCAATAAAACTAAATTCTTAATGAATCTCTAGAAAAAAGATGCCAGGACGTGGAAGCTTCAAACATCATGCATAGATATTGGTGTAGGCCAGTTGACAATAGCATCAATCTTACTATGGTCCATTTTGATGCCTTGGACAGTGATGATGTATCCAACAAATTCTTGCTTGTAATGAGGAATGAGCATTCTTGAGATTAGCATAAAGTTTTACTCTTTAAGGATTTCAGAAACTTGTCAGAGATGGTCTATGTGCTCCTATTCATTCTTGTTGTATACCAAGATATCATCAAAGTAAACAACAACAAATTTTCCAATGAAGAGTCAAAATACATGGTTCATAAGGTGCACGAAAGTGTTGGGAGCATTAAACAATCCAAATGGCATGATCATCCACTTGTACAAACCATCTCTAGTTTTAAATGTTGTTTTTGATTCATCATTGGGACGCATTCGAATGTGGTGATATCCACTTCTCAAGTCAATCTCCAAGAAGATAGTAGCTCTATGTGGCTGTTCAAGCATGTC